AATACAAGAAGTACTTTAAACATTTAAAACTTAAAACCGTAAACATAAAACTTAATGAGCTCCCAAAATATCACATGTCATACATATTAGTGGGTCCATCCTTACGGCTATATTCCAACCCATGTAAATGTTATGATCCAACCATAGTTTTACAATCATTTTCGTTGCTACAACATCTTCCATACAAGTCACAAAGACAAACAAGTGTTGTGATCCAACCACAGTCTTTCATATAAGTTTTGTGATCCATCCATAGTTTTTCATGCAAGAGTTACAAAAACTATCTAGTAACTTATCTAGTATAATGAGAATACCCACCTGATTTTAGCAAGCAAAATCCTAACAACGTTGTTATCGTGAGCTAGATGAGTTACTTCCACTGATTTTAGCAAGCAAAATCCTAACAATGTTGTTATGGTGAGCTAGATGAGTTACTACATCCCATACCAAACTCTATTTAGATCTTTTCTTAATAGTATACGTTTATACTTTTCTACAAGTATTAGGATATGTGTGTTTCCAATCACACTCTTTGCTTAGTCCATAGGAGGTATGTAGTTGCCTAGGTGCTGCCCCAAGGTGCTTAACCACGCTTAGGCAATCAATAAAGTTGTAGGAGCTAATAATTTTTTAGCATTGCGAAGAAATTGTACATTGATATAAACTTTTTGAGTAATCATCATTGTTTTATTAGTCAGATTTACATATTCTTTATGATATTAGTAATATTTGTCTATTTTGTTATGATATTAGTTATATTTACTTTTCTTAATATTAAATGTTTGTAATTTAAGGTCATCCAAGTCTCTAGTCTTCGGTCAAAGGAACTAGTATTGTTTATGGAATTTTCCAACTTTAATTTTATGCTAATTGGAGGCAATAATTGCAAAGAAAACGTGAATCTACAAGTACTTGTATATCAAATAAATAAATATTTTAAATCTCTTTTGTTTACCTATAGAAATCAAAATCCCTTATTATTCAAATAAAAACACTAATTTGGTAGACAAGAGTATTATGTATTTTTGGATTTTTCTATTTGGAATATCGAGTTGTAGGCAGCTAATTAGAGGTGTGCAACCATTAGGCATATGTGTTATGAGGTTTTCTCAGATTGAATTTTTATTATTCATACCGAAAACCGAACTGAACTAAATCAAATTATAAAATAATACATGCCAAACCAAATTACAATTTGGTTTGGAACATAAGAAAACCAATTATTATGTTCAAAAATAAAATTCATAATTCCAATTTTGCAAATGTAAAATCTAAAGTTTCAAAATACAAAAATCCAAATATAAAAACATTAAATACAAACATAAAATACAAAGTTCCAAACAAAAAATACAAAGTTACTAACTTGTCAATATCTTCAATGGGTTCCACATTTATAGAAGAAAGGACTACTTATCCTCAAACTTCTTAGGCCATGGGGTGTGGATTGGTTTTTAACGAATAATGATGACGTGTAGGGGGGTATTCACGCGTGAACAGCCCCCCCCCCCCCCCCCCCACCGGTGAATGTGATGCGGATTGGATTCTCTTACAGACGTTCGCGCATGCTTTGATTGGGTGATTTTTTTTTGACCGTTTTTTCCTTTCATTTTTTGACCGTTGCTTTTAATTAACAAAAAAAAACTTTTCAATTTATTTCATCTACTATATATACACAAACACATAAACAAACTAAACACATATTTCTCTACAAATAATATCTCTCCACTATCTCATTTTCTCTAAAAAAATATGGAGCAAAATCAAAATATCTCTACTACTCTAAACACCCCAACAACCCCAACCACTCCAAATGATCAATATCAAGGTTACATTCGAATGCTAACATCCCAATCCAACATCAACCTCTATTTACCAACATTCCATTTCAACCAAACTACTTCCAACAACAATTACCACAATCTCAATTTCAAGGTTTTCAACAATTTCGACCCCAACAATTCCAAACACAACCATCTCAACAACTCCAAACACCACCATCTCAACAATTCCAAACACAACCATCTCAACAATTCCAAACACCACCATCTCAAGCCCCTTGTTCTCAATCCCCAACTATAAACTTGGACAACGACGAGGACGACCGGGTCGAAGAGACACAACCATCTAGGCGTAGGAAATCAAAAGGAAAAGCTACAAATAGAAGAGGAACAACTTGGATCGAAGAGGAGGAGGAAACTTTAGCTAAAGCTTGGATTTCTATATCGTGTGACTCAAGGACAGGCAACGCGCAAACGGGAACAAGTTTGTGGGTTCGTGTTTTAGATCATTTTCACTCGCTTTTGGGAAGACAAACGGGTCGAACGTATGACGCGGTCAACAGAAAATGGCGTGAACTACGAGCGACGTGCACCAAGTTTAACGGCATATTTGAAAATCTGAAAAATATGCATAAAAGTGGTAGCAACGATTTCAATATTTTATCAACCACATGCCAACAATTCAAAGTTACCACCAACGGTAAAGCGTTCGGCCACCAAAAAGCGTGGAAAATTTTTCGTAAGGGTCCAAAATGGGTCCTTAACCTGGAGACTTCGCATTCGTAATCAACCACCGGCTCCAACAAAAGGCCAAGAACTTCGGAATCTGATGTGGGTTTTGGCGTCGACCTCAATGACGACTTCGATGGGACCGAAGGGGAGGGTCCACCGGAAGTCCAACTTCGTCGACCACCGGGAAGGGATAAAGGGAAAAAAGCGGCTTCTTCAAGCGGAAAAGGGATTAACGAAGACGTGCTTGCGGACAAAATTGATAAAACTCTAAGTTTTTTACAACAAAAATACGAGTCAACAGAGAATGCTCGGCGCCGGAAACAAGCACTCACCGATCTTCAAATTTTAAACATGAAACCGCAACCAGATATCGACCCGGAAAATTTAGCCGCGTTTCTGAAAATCCAAAAAGAAGTTCGGGAAAAGCATGGATTTTAGGTTTTAACGTTTTTAATATTTATGTTTAATTTCTATGTTTTTTAGTTATTTAGGTTTTAAGTTTTATTTTTTATGGTTATTCGGAATCTAGATTTGAAATTTTATGTTTTATGTTTTTATGTAACGTGAAATATCTAATTATGTTATTAATTTAGTTTTTTTATTTTTTTATTTTAATCTAAATAGATAAAAAAAATATAAAAAAAAAAAAGAAATAAAAAACATTGTCTAGTGATAACCATTTCTAATTATGTTATTAATTTAGTTTTTTTTTAATTTCAATCTTAAAAAAAAAAAGAAAAAAACAAAAACATTGTCTAGTATAACCATTTCCAAGACTAGTGAATGTGTAGTAAACATGTAGTGGGGTGATGTGGCGCATATCTAGTATAACCATTTCCAAGACTAGTGAATGTGTAGTAAACATGTAGTGGGGTGATGTGGCGCATATCTGCATCACTTAACATCACGTGACCATACCCGAAACCATACCCGAAGCCTTAAAATGTTCAATGTGTTCTTTCGCATCGACCACGTTGTCAAACAGATCCAATCTTGACAATATATTAATGCTTGCAGAATTTAGGAATCAAATTTTGGCTATTTGGGAAATAGGGGCCCTAACTAATACATAAAACAAATTCATAATTCGGTTACCAAACCAAAAACCGAATTTGAAATTTGGTTTATTCCGAGTTTGATTTCTTTTTCGGCTAGTTTCAAACAAAATAATGGTAACCCCTATTGCTCATTAGATACTGATCTGCAAATTGGGGATTTCTCATGCTCAATGTGCTCTGTTTTATGTTGATACGATTTCATGAATAATAAATGAACAATTTTTTTTCTTGTATAGTTGATTCAACTAAACCTAGCGATATTTTGAACCTTGTCCAAGCTGTTGAATTCCCATGTAGTTTGATTTGATTGAATTTGAATATCATGCGTACATTTAAAAAGAATCATAGTAAATACAAGTGGAAAATGTATTTATATAGTAGTAGGGTAATAATAACATCAAAAATGTGGATCAAATTAACTCATGAAAACCAGTAGAACAGCGATAATGAATCCAACGCCTCCATTTTGAAACAGGGTTCTTCCATTGCTCTGTAATCAATAAATCAAATCGTCAGTTTTATGTTTTTCTTTTTTATTTTATTTTTTTAGATAAAAAGTGACATTTTTATAAATAAAATACCAGATCGAGTGTTGGTGATGGTGCTGGTGCTGTATCATCAGAATCTGTGGTGGTTACCGGTGCTGGTGGGCTCTTGGCAACCGGTGATGGTGCTGGTGCATGATGTTTCTTGTGTCTATGCCTTCTGTGCTTGTGTTTTGTAGGAGCGGGTGCCGGTGAGGGACTCATCTCCGGCGTTGGTGCTGGCGGAAGAGCAACCGGTGCCGGTGCTGGTGTTGGCGGTGGTGGAGCCGGAGCCGGTGCAGGTGGCGGAGGAGTCGGTGCCGGTGCTGGTGGTGGAGGAATCGGTGCCGGTGCTGGTGGAGGAACAGTAGGCGGTGAAGCAACCGGCGGTGGTGTAGGGGCTGGCAATGGCGGTGGTGTCGAGGCTGGCAATGGCGGTGGTGGAGTAGATGGAGCTGAGACGGGAGGAGCAGGTGGAGGAGAAGTCGGTGGTTGTGGTGGTGGGATAGGTGGGTTAGAAACTGGAGCGACTGGTGGTGGAAGTGGGGTGGTGGAAGGTGGCGGCACTATGGCGGGTGTAGTTGATGGTGACGTGGCAGGTGCTTGTCCTTCGGAAACCACCACCAGAAGGAAGATCAAAGCCGGGATAATAATAATCCTCAACATTTTTTTTGGTGAATTGTTGTTTTTGAATTGAAAGAATTGTTAATTTATAACACATAAAGCATGTTTAATTTCAAATGAAATCAAGAAAGTTGGTGCTACATGACCTTCATGTGGGTGGTGCATCTCATCCCAGATATGACTTAAAGACCAATCTTGATACTTTCATGATGTCAACTAACTACCTTAAAAGTAATAATAAATTAATAATCAAATGTCAAAAATTACAAAAATATTGTTTTAAGCTATAAACAAAAGATGATCTTAAAGGCATGCTGGATCTTGGATAAAAAGTCCGAATGATGATGGGAAACGGTAATAGATGACACCGGAATTGTTGATTCCGGTTCTGATGGAATTGGTGATTCCGGTTCCGGCGGAATCAGTGATTCCGGTTTTGACTTGTTGTTTCTTCTTAATCGAAAAAAATGTTTCATGATTCCGGAACACTCTTCCGCCAGTACTCCTCTTCTAACCGCCATGTTTTGGTGGAACGGGTGCACAGGAGCAGACAGGTTATCTGTTGGTGTGGCGTCTTTTCCTTCGTTCCCATCGGAAAATAGTCTGTAAAAGCATGAGAAAGTTACTAAAAATGGAAATAATTAGTTGATTCTAGTTACTCCATTATTGAAAAGTATTTTGCATACCTAATCCAGCTGCCATCAGCTCCTAGCAGCTTATTTGGAGCTCCCCATACAAGTGTGTCAATTCTGGCTTGTAAAATTGCTCCAGCACACATGGGACATGGTTCAAGTGTTACATAAAGAGTAGTATCCTGCAATTCATTGAGAGTAAAATTATTAATTACTTAAGATGCAAATATTGAAAATGGTAAGTGGATTATAATATTTGATCATATGTCGTTCTAATACATAAACCTTAATGTAAACAAAACATTTTTGAACAAGAAAGAGAATAATTAATTACCGAAAGTCTCCAAGAGTCAAGGATTTTTGAGGCTTCACGTATACAAATCATCTCTGCATGAGCAGTGGAATCATGTAATTTTTCTACCCTAAAAATTACATACATCAACTACTATACAAATATATATTCCATCATATGAAAACAAAAATAAATTCCAAAAAAAAAAAAACTTACAAATTATATCCACGAGCTATAATTTTACCATTATGCACAAGTACAGCTCCAACAGGTACTTCCCATACATCAGCAGCCTTTTTAGCTTCCAAAAGTGCTTCCCTCATAAACATCTCATCTTCTTTTCGTTTCTTAGCCTCAAAACCATACGCCTCTTCCAATTCATCAAACTTGGAATCATTCAAAGACACATGAGAAGTTTTATTGGTTGGGGGGAATGGAATCGGTGATTCTTGATTACAGGGAGTGGAATCGTTATTGGAATCATGACTAGAAAACCATGCTTCGCTAGTAAGAGACAAACATGAGGAACACTTTCCGCCACCTGAGTTTGGAATGTGGGATTCCGAACGTGGAGATGAACACCGGAATCGGATTACATCGCCGATAACTGTCAACAAGGACCTGATATTTTTCTTGACACTATCAACAATCTCACTTGAAGATGTTATGTCATGATCTGATGATGCATCAGTCATGTGCCACATCTCATCAGAAGGCCCTTTATGACCACTATCCGTGATTCCTTCCACCATTTTCATTTCTAAACTTGGATACAATTTTTGTTTATCAGATTTTTTTCTATGTGAAACTGATGAATTTTCACTATTTGTGACATGGGTATCCGAGATTCTTGATCTTTGTTGTGAGTCCTCACTGGATACTGTTGTTATTTTAATCAAATGGTTTGTTTTCTGATGTTTTTCTTCTTTGATGTCTTTAACCATATGACTAACTTCAGTAGATATCTCTTCACAGTTCTGAGGTTTTCTCACTTCTGAAATCACTTTTAACTTCTGAGAGATGAAAGTTGAATCAATAACACGGTTATCTTTATCTGAAAGTTTCTCAATTTGTTTACACTTCATTCTTGATCTTGATTTGTTAGTGACTCTATCAACCGATTCTTTATAATGTCCTTTTACAGTATCTTTCTTCTCCAGTATTTTCCCTTGTTCTTTATCACACCTCTGATCTTTTTTCACAACCCCAGAACTTACATTTTTCTTTTCCATGTTATCACATATAAAATGATTCTTATCGATCTTTTTACAGTCTTTTTCACCATTATACTCCAAACCCACCTCATCTGTTAATAAACTAAGCATAACGTCTACATCATTCACATAAGCATCACTAACATTACCCAAAAACTGTTTTTTCCTCTTGTGTCCAAAACCCCTCTGTCTGTGTTTCCTTCTATCGTTGAAAGAAGAAAGGTTTTCATGGCAATAATTTCCATCAGTAAAGGAAGAAACCCCAGAGGTATTACCATAAAACTGTCTACTGCTACCATGAAAGATTAATCGTTTACTAAGTGACCACTGAATCAAAGTTGATTGGCTTAACCCTTTACATAAAAAGCTAGGGTTTATTACAGTCAATCTATTACACATTGAAATATTAGCAGCAGAATAGCAGCAACAACATTTTCGTGATGAAAATAATAATGGGTTTCTTTCAAACATTTCATCGAACATGTAGGAGGCGTGATTGGATGGTAAAGATAAGAGAGGTCTAGAACTAAGTGATACATCTGGGTTGAAACAAATGGTGTGCATTATCCTTGTGTTCTAACTTCTAATGTGGTTGTGGGTGATACAGAGAGAGGAAGAGAAGAAAAGGGGGTTGTTACCTTGATGTTAGAAGCGACTTTTTCTCGCAGAATCTTTTTCGATCGGGAATGGTGACAGTATAGATGGAAAGGACGAGAGTGATAGCATGTCATGTGGACTGTGTTTTAAGATATTTGACCTGAGGTTAAAAATTATTTGTAGTCTTGAGTAGTTGGGAATGATGACAGTAGTTTACTGATAACGATGCCAACAATTCGATTACAGGTAATGTTGACAAAATATATTATACATGTAATGAAAAAGTAACTTATAAAAAATTAATGAAAAGGTAACTTATAAAAAATTTAAATCCATAAGTATCGATCAAATGCTTTTAATATTATCTTCTGAAATATAGATAAAATTAAAAAATATATACATATAAAAATAAATTAAATATATAATTTAAAAATAAATAAATCGATAAACATTTCAAATAAAAACCTTTAAATTCCGATCATTTAAAAATGTTCGTTATCATGGTTGTTCAACCCGAATCTAGAGCAAATAACAATGGGCTCCTAATCAAGCTTTGGCCCAAACTAACTATCTGCCAAATTAAGGTGTTGGGCCACAAGTTGTGGTGTAAATTCTAACTAGGGGTCATTGGTCACAATTGTAAAACAAATTAAACATTTAATATCTAACATCTTGACTTTTCTTTTGTTGCTCTGGATTGCTTTTTATACACAATAAAGTAAATGCGATTTCTATATGCATAAAACACTTATATCACGTGTTAATAACTATTACCTCTATCTTCACAAATATTATTTTCTTAGAGTTCGATTTTTCGTAGATGGAATTAAATTAAAGACTGTAACTGGTCATAAAAAAAAAAACCAAGCCCATGTTTTAAATCTTGTCTTCGAAAGGACAGGCTACACAAAGTAATTACGTTTGGAAAAACCTATACTGAATGAACAAAAAAAAAAGTTGTATGGTAGAAATTATTGTTGCATTTATGTTTGTTTTACATGTTAACAAAACTGAAGGGTCTGACCTATGACCAATTAATTGAGTCGAAGACTACTTTACACATATTTAGATCAAATAAAAATATTATTAAAAGCTAACATGGTATATGATTATAGTTGCATAAAATCAAGTTCCAAATCGGTTTTAAAAACCAATCACACTTAGGTCCAGCCCAGGTTAATAAATATATTGACCATATGGTTTTTAGTGATATTCGGGTTGCGAGGCATAAGCAAAAAACCATGGCCCGTTGCAACTGGCCCAAAATTGAGTCTTGAAAAAGTTGTTCATGAAAAACAAAATATTTTGTATATTTGTGAAAAACTAGTAAATGAAAAAGTTTTGGTCTTAAGTAATATAAAAGAACTACAAAACGCCATAATTAACGCGAGTTCCCACACGATTTCTTGCCGTCACCTTCATCTTCGCCACCACCTACCATGATCGTGACCACCACCACCCACCAGCCTCCACCGCTACCATCGACACCCAACATCACTGCTAGGGATGAGTAAAAGGATCGAACCGGCCCGAACTAGACCGGAACCGGGAACCGGCTTCGGCCAAAATCAAGAACCGAACCGGCCCGGCGGTTCTACTAGTTTTCGGTTTCTACCGGTTCTTGTTGCATCTTCAAATGTTGGAACCGATCCTCGAAAAATAACATCATACGGTTCCGGTTCTTGCAGGTTCTACCGGTTTTTGCCGGTTTCTACCGGTTCCTGGTTCCAAAAATCCACAAAAATAACATCCCGATCCTGGCCCGTCCGGTTCCATCGGGTTCCGGTTCCGGTACCAGTTCCGGCTGGTTCCCCAGTCCATATGCTCATCCCTAATCACTGCTACTACCAACACCACCACCGCTTTTACCACCACTATCGACATGAATTCTCAATTAATAAAATAAAATTTTACTATTTTTATAGTTTATACTTTATACAATATATTTTTACATGTAAGATAGAAAACAGAATAAAAATTAAGAAAAAAAGACAAAAAAAAAAAAAAAAAGCTTTATTATTTCATTTTACATTGATTGCAATTTCATTTTCCGCTAACCAAATAAAATATGAAATTAATTACAATTTCATTTCCTACCAACCAAACAGATATGAAATTGGATTCAAATTTCTAACATATCCTTTTTTTAATTTCAATTCTAATTCGTTTAGAAACATTTTACAAATCAAACAACACCTTAGTAACCTATATTACTGTAACCGGGGACACATAATTGAAATAGCATTCTATATTTGTATTTCCGTGAACATTACGCTAATTACTAAATTTATGTTCTGAAATAAGTAAAATAACATTTAAAGTGGATATCATGTTTATTTGTTATAAGGCTAAGAAATTTACTTGTTAGGGTAATTATTTTTTCGTTTTCTTCACACATGGGTAACTTTTTTTGAACACATTTAGATAACGAACTTGTTAGAAGTGTTCACATGTGATTATTATGAATGGTTGTAACTTGCTACATCCAGCCATAATGGTAATATGTGAACACTTCCAACAAATTCGTTACTTAAATATGTAAAAAAAAAAAAAAAAAAGTTACCCAGATGTAAACAAAATGAAAAACTAAGTAACCTCATAAATCAATTTTTTCTTATAAGTCTTTTTTTTTAAATAATTTTTGGGAGGGGGGGGGGGGGGGTGGAGTGGCTCATACCTTGACATTGTTGGGTATGTTGAGCTAAACAAATGGATTGGCAAACCACAGATGAGAGAGAAAACTAAGTTTAGAAAAGTATATATATTTTTAATTCAAATTTTCAAATCTTTAACCACTTGTCAACCTTTAACCTATAATGTTGAACTTACTTCCCTCAAACCTTAACACTTATCTTACAGCTCTCAATTTTATTTTTGCAAAAATGTCTTCCTCAAATGCTCAACCTGGTTTACATTGGAGCACGATAGAACATGTAGTTTGGCCCCAGGGCCGATCCAGACGGTGGGCAACCTGGGCGACCGCCCAGGACCCACGACTCAACGGGGCCCAAAATTTCTGGATATAATCCTTCTAGTTCCCCCGAGCTTCATTAGGGCAAGGGAGGGGGGGGGGGCTGTGCCCCCCCTGGTTTTTTGGTTAGTTATAATCCTTCTAGTTCCATTTTATACATTTTAGACCAAAAAATATAAAACTTTGGCTGTGGCCCCCCTGCTTACCAATTTTTATACATATTATATTTTTGGCACCCCCGAAGCTCCGCCCCTGTTATATATAAACCAATTATTACCAAAATGATTTTTAGGGCCTAAATTTGGTTCAAACTCAAACTAGCTCAAAAGATAAACAATTTAACTTGCTTGTTATTGCTAATTGAACGTGATTATAGTGAAGAATAAATGATTTTTTTTAATCTTTATTATATTTTTCTTAAAGGGGCCCTTTTTTTTTCGCCCCGGGCCCCATATACGTTTGGACCGGCCTTGTTTGGCCCTTGTATGAGTTGATATAGAAGGATCCGAGAGTTGGCATCAACGAAAGTGAGTCATCTTTTTGAAGTGAAATCACCAACTTTTTTATTAACAGAATGAATCGAGGCCACTACTGAACTTAAGATCAAATATACATAAAAAGAGAGGAACATGAACACTGTTGTAATAGAGTTTGACACACTGTTTAATAAAGTAGAACACGATTGGCCAAATGATGAATATGATGCAATGGTTTTAAACACTGCTCTTTGGAGTGGTGTATGAAATAGCATCAAATGTAATACATGATTTTATTTATTTATTATTATGTTCTAATTGAAGTGGTGTTATGTATTTTTAATTTAAATTAATGGAATTTCTAGTTTATTCTATTTAATATTATGTAAATTGTTTTTCAATCTAATAAAAAATAGTGGCAACCCCACACACACATAACGACAATAAATTGAAATGGCAGGACAAAAATGAGGTGATGTTGTGAGGAAAAAAAAAAGTTTCCCCAACTTAACTATTCCGATGGTTACTTGTTTCATCCAAACCTAATTGATCTTATATGATCAACTCTGTTATAAAAGCAAGCTGAAGAACAATACAAATTTAAATACATTATAATAAAAGTAAACCAGAGTGTTTTGATGAACCCGTCGATTGAATGAAGCATTATGTATAAACACCCATGATTAAATATATATCTATTTTATAAGGGAGAGTTTGAGATTGATTATTTGAAACTACTTCTGTTTTTTCTCGTAAAAATACTTATTAGCTTATCTGGTGTTAAAACGATGTTTCACACTTATACGACACTAAAATGTTATAAAACCAAATTAAAGAAGAATACAAATTTAAATACATAACAATAAAAGTAAACTAACGTGTTTTGATGAACCCATGAACTGAACGAAGCATTATGTATAAAGACCCATAATCAAATAAACATAACTCTTTTATAATGGGGAGTTTGAGATTCATTATTTAAAACTATTTTCATAAAAATACTTATTAGTTTATCTGGTGTTAAAACGAAGTTTTACAAAATTTATTGGATTGGCTTATACAACACCAAAATATAATAAGTTGATAAGTTATTCTTTAGTGCTGAAAAAGTATGTTTATACATGTAATAAAAAAGTAAATTATCAAAAATTTAAGTCAATAAGTATCGGTGAAATGTTTTTAGCATTATATTATAGAACGGTATCAAGTGGTCTTACCCTTTTGAAGTTGAGGGTTCAAACACTCTTTCGGATATAGATACGATTAGAAATAGTATAATATTAGATTAAATATGAAGTTCAAAAATAAATAAATAAATACACATTTGAAATAAATAATTTTAAATTCGGGTCACTTAAAAACGTTCATTATCAATCGTTCTTCAACCAAAATTTACAGCAAACAGTGGGCTCCTAAAATCAAGCTGTGGCCCATAACATGAGTCCAAACCACCGTGTGTGTATGGGCAAAAGTTGTGTTCTAAGTTCTACCTAGTGGTCACAATTGTAAAAACAAATTAAATATTTAACATCACTTTTCTTTTGCTCTATAAGAAAGTAAATGAGATTTCTAGATGCATAAAACACTTATATCACGTGTTAATAGTTATTACCTCTATCTTTACAAATATTATTTTCTTAGAGTTCGATTTTTCGTAGATGGAATTAAATTAAAGACTGTAATTGGTCATAAAAAAAAACTAGCCCATATTTTAAATCTTGTCTTTGAAAGAACAGGCTACACAAAGTAATTACGTTTGGAAAAACCTATACTGAATGAACAAAAAAAAAAAAGTTGTATGGTAAAAAATAATTGTTGCATTTATGTTTGTTTTACATGTTAACAAAACTGAAGGGTCTGACCTATGACCGATTAATCAAGTCGAACTTTACACATAAGCAAAAAACC